TCTGTTGCTTCAGTAGCATATGCACTGTTGGTGACATTACCTCAGTCTGTGGAACCTGATATAGCAGATTTGACTACAGGCCATGCGGCAGAGAGATTATCTTGTTTGCACAGCAAATCCACATAAAAATGACATTCCACTCTCTGCTCTCGAAAGTCATTCAATTCAATAGATGGCTTTATGCACATATCATAGCTCATATCATCACTCATAATTCCGGTTGGGGTTGGTGTGGTAGCCATTTTATAGTTTATGAAATGTGCATACTACCGCAGGTTGGTGCTTTGTCATTCCTATGATGACAGAGAGCTTCATGCTATTTAGATGTGTTCAGTGCCTCTGGAGGAAACCCAGAGTGAATGATAAGGACTTTAATGTTGCCAATGAATGCAAATTATTGTCTCACTGATATTATAAGTACCAAACAAAACTGAAGAAAGACAATAACTAAACAGATTTGACAAAAAAACACGCACGCACGCACGCACACACACACACACACACACACACACACACACACACACACACACACACACACACACACACACACACACACACACACACACACACACACTGGGATAGAGGGACTGAGCTATATTTCTCAAGTGTGAAGGACGAGGCTAATGGCAGATTTACTCAGAAATACAGAAATACTATGCTTCGTGGGGTAGTCACTGTAATATTTTATTTTTTAAATGCCACTGATTGGAATGAGTCATTATTGTGACACCTACAGGTCTAGACAGACAGTGCAACAGAGAGAGAGAGAGAGAGAGAGAGAGAGAGAGAGAGAGAGAGAGAGAGAGAGAGAGAGAGAGAGAGAGAGAGAGAGAGAGGAGGGAGAGAGCAAAAAGAGAGAGAGAGCAGAAAGAGAGAGAGCATGGAGAGCGAGAGAGAGCAGAGAGCAGAGAGACAGAGATATAGAGCATGGAGAGAGAGAGAGCACGAGAGAGAGCAGAGAGAGGGAGAGCATGGTGAGAGAGAGAGAGAGCAGAGAGAGAACGGAGAGAGAGAGGGGGAGAGAGAGAGAGAGAGCAGAGAGAGAAAGAGAGAGAGAAGGAGAAAGAGAGAGAGAGCAGAGAGATAGCGAGAGAGAGTAAAAGTGAGAGTGTGTGTTGAATCAGGTATGCAAAACACTGAAATTCTACAGTCACCAACTCGTCGATCCTCTCCCTCTCTGTTTACCTAATGTGTTTGTGTTTGGTCCTGCCTGTGTCCCTCTGGTCTAAATGGAATGTTGACTTACCCCCGTGTGTGTCACCCTCGTGAGCTGCCCAGCATATAACAAAAATATGGGCCCAATAAACCCTATGGGCCCTCATCAAAAGTAGTGCACTAAATGAGGAATAAGGTGACATTTGGGATGCAGACCATGATGTTTATGCATGAGAGATGGTGATTGGCCACACAGCATGTATGGGTTTCTCTACCCATCCAATCCCCACAGTCTGCTCTGCGTAATAGAGGTTAAGGCTGTGTGATTAATCCATTTGAATATGTGAATGCTTTGAGAAATTCAAATTCAAATTGAGAAATGATGTATTATAGTGGCGCCTCCACACACACACACACACACACACACACACACACACACACACACACACACACACACACACACACACACACAGAGCGACAACTACATTCAATTGAATTTGCATTCAATTAAATAGAATAGTCTGCATGTAATAGGATAGGTTTGGATGATGCATTTGTAAAACATGTTGTTATTGTGTGACAGAATTTCCTGACTATCATTATACTACTTCAGCAGAGTGAGAGACTATAAGGTTATGTATTTACTTTCATAGTTCACCTTGTGTTCTTGAACGTAGCCCTGTTTCTTTGTGGTCTTGAACGTAGCCCTGTCTTTCATTTTTGTTCATTGATTTCACCTGTGTTTGTTACTCACCTGGTCTCATTATCTCCTTATTTAGTTCAGTTCATTCTGTTTGTGCCTTGTGAGGTATTGATCGTTTTGACTCTACTAAACCTTTTCCTAGCTCGTTTGTGAGAACCAGTTATAGCCTTCAGTCCTAGTTTTTGATTCTCCTGCCTGTTTGCCTACCTGTGTATGACCATTGCCTGCCTGTGACCACAATTCCTGCCTTCTGCAAATAAACACCTGCCGCGCTCTGCGCGTGAATCTACACCTTTTTCTCCCTGAGTATTCATTACAGAGAAAGCGAAAGAAAACAGAAGAGAACACAACTCTACAGCGAGCGTTCATCAGACCAATCTGAAACATCGATGAATGTGAAGATTGTAAATCGATCCCATTGCAGCACAGAGGCATCAAGCTCTTGTTTCCTCTTGATTAAATAAAAAAAGAACCGAATAGGAAACGAATGACGTCACCACCGACACACACACACACACACATACACACGCACACTACATTATGTATAGTGATTACCACAAGATTCTCTTGTTCCATCTCCAAGAGAACAAGCCCCGGCTTGGCCTTAAGTGTGTCTGTTGTCAAAGTATTCAGGACACACAGAGAGACAGCAAGGAATGGAAAGACACAACAGAAATAGCCAACTGAAATGTGCCACTTTTGATGGTACATTATAAAGAAGTCAAGGTTGATAGTATAATACAGATGGTATTAAGATCATTACAACATTGCATCACACTCGGCACCTCTATATTGTATGACACAAGCTAGCAGCCATTTTGCTTCATTGAATGCACAGCAGTTCCGAGCGAGAGGCATACCTCACTAACTAAAGGACAACGCAATACCTAATGTCTGATGTAAGCACAGGAAATGGTTCGAGGAGGACTTTGTGCTGTGACTTTATAATGAAAAGCCTCAACTTCCTTAGGAAAGGATAATTGCACCAAGCTATAAAAGGAACACCAAAGGTTCACCAAAAGGACAAGCTGTCAACTCATAATACATTCATCTGCCTGACAGAATTCTGCTGAGACAAGAAAATCCTTCATGGGTTGTAAAGGACAGTGACTGGTTCTCAGGACCACGGGTCAGGGGATTACTGTAAATGGAAGGAGATTGGCCTGCAGGCTCCAAGTGGTCCATCGGGGCATCCAACCAAATTACCAATCACCCACGTCACAATCACATTTCCCTCGGAGAGAAATAGAATTTCAGAAATGTATTTATTTATTTGACCCTTTTCTTACCAAGTACGTTGGCTGAGAACACATTCTCATTTACAGCAATGACCTGGGTAATAGTTACAGGGGAGAGGAAGGGGGATGAATTAGCCAATTGGAAGCTGGGGACATTAGGTGGCCATGATCATGATTTAAAAAAGTGTACCTAGACCTTTTATTTGGAAAGGTTGTAATTTCCTGATGTGCCTCAGGGGCTTTTTGCTCAATCTGATTGGGTGGGCCTGGCAGGGCGTGGCTCCCCAGTGGGTGGGCCTGTGTCCACCCAGGCCCACCCATGCCTACACCCTTGATGTGCCTACCAATGTCATGTGGTTTTACCATACCAAATCCCACAATATGAGTATATTATAAAGTAATGCCTATGATCAAATCAATTGTTTTAAGGAGGTGAAAATCCTGTCTGTGTTATGAGAGGTTTGTGACCATCCCTAGAAAGGCGGCTCATGGGATGCATCCCAAATAGCACCCTATTCCCTACATAGTGTACTACTTTTGACCAAAAGTAGTGCACTATACAGGGAATAGGGTGCCATTTGGAACGCAGTATATGGAGTCAGGAAGTTTAGACACTGAGGTATTTACAGCCTTAAAGCTCCAGCAACGATAATGAGGACCCTCTCTCTCTCTCTCTACCCCTCCAATCTTTCAGTTCATCCCTTCTTCCCATCTCTAGGGGCCGGCCTGGCCAGCGAGAGATAGCAGGACAGACACTATTGATTTATTCTCCCGACACGGCAGGTTTGAAGATCAGTGCAGCATGAAGGTATTTGTGTACTCATTAATACTGTTTGGCCAAGCGATCGATGCTTGTGAGGCCTCTCCTATGTTGGAAAAACAAACTGCAGAGACGGTCCATTCGGATGCTTTGGAGTGCTGATATGGGTTTGTGGTAATAAGGTGTTTATTGCCAAGGCCACTTCACACCCCATGTATTCATCCACACCTCTATATCTAGCTAAATCGCTTTATCAGCAAACCCCGAGACTTTGACAAGCCAACTACGTCCTGGCTTAGTAACAGTACAAGTCCCTAGTTCACCTTTATTCCTCCGTCATCCATCTCTCCAGTACTGTCCTCCACCCTACCTGTCCAGATCCCCATATCCCCATGCAGGGTTCTCCCCAGGATTTTTTTAACAAGCTGGAAATGTCATGTCAGCACACAGTAACCCATGTTTCATGACCGGTCATCAACTTGAACCCCGCTTCAACCAGCTCTTATAAAACTGTTCAGCCCCTGTAGGTGGAAATACCAGCCAGGCCAGCGATTACATACACCTTGATCATTATGCAACCGCTGCAAGCTTAATCATCTGGACAGGAAGGATAGGAATATCATCGTTAGAGGGTACAGCATGCACCCAGGGTGACCCTGGTTATTGGATATGGGACAGGTGGTTTAAACTTTCACTCTGCCACTCGTTAAGCATGTGACCCATCAAAACAATAGCAGCTGTCATGGCAACTCATAATCTCCATGGAAAATTCAGAAGCGGCTTAAACTAAACGACTCGTTCAATTATATGTCACCTTTTTATGTATTTAGCCAAGAGGCAATGGAATTGACCAATTTATCTTAGTTTCTAAGTTTGTGCAATTTTCAATTTAGCATACAGTGAATGGAGATGCAATTGTCTTCACAAATAGATACTGTGTTTTTCTACTTCAAAAGGTCTAGACAAAAAAAAACATATCTGAGCGGCACTAAATGAGATGTCATACATACACCTCTGTCAGTGTTTTTGTTCAGCACAAATTACCTACTGAAGTGTTTACTTCAGACACCCAGAAAAGTCCCTTGTCAAGCCAAGCCCATTCAATTTCCTCTCTCCTGCATTATTCTGTCACTGTTCACTGACCCTGATTTTGCCTCAATTTTCTCATATAAATGAAAGAGCAAGAAGCCCAGTGAGGAGGACTCTGTAGTCCGTACTCACCATCCTTGCGGTGGTAGGTGATCTCCACCTTGCGCTCCTCAGACCCCATCAAAGCCTGGGCTACCTGGGCGATGGCATGTCTGTTGGTGAACTCTCCGTGGAGGAAGTCACAGGTGCACGGCCTCTGCATCACGTCCGGCCGCGAGAAGCCGGTCATCTCACAGAAGCCATCATTGCAGTAGATGATGGCGCAGTTCTGAACCCGGGCATTGGCTATAATAAATTTCTTATCTGTGAAGATATAGAAGAATGCATTATCATAGTGGGGAAGAATGGGTAGGTTAACACATTCATGGTAGCATCAAAGGTATGTGATAAAATACCACTCTGCATGATGCTTTATATACAGTATAAAATATACACTATATAATAAATCCCTCAAAAAATATAAAGATGATAAATGAAAAATGTCTCCTTCATTCCTATCATGACTAGGGGTGCATTGCTTCGTTATTTTTTCATGAGGTCTGTGCTCCATTCTACTTGATTGATGTTCATGCCATAGCCATACTATAAAACAGAGAGATACACATTTAATAACTGGCACATAACCACCTGACCATAACCATTTCAAATGTGGGAGTATTTGAAAAAGGTTATATGTCTGTTGTTTGGATACTACTTATTGTTACCATGTAATCTTGTGGAGAAACATAAGTTGTTGCTACTTCAAAACATTTTCAATAATCCTCAATGATATCCCATATTTAAATTATTTTAACTTCAACTCTCCCACTTCTAAAGTATCACAAGCACAACAATACTAGCTCTCGTCTTACTGATTGTTAAAAAATGTGTTGTCGAAATACCAATACTCAGATACAAAATATCAACTTCATTTATTTTGTAAGTGTCCAAGCAAGGCAAATAAGATTTCCCACCAATATGAATATTATGAATTTAAAGATACATTGTTCTGAAAACACAAAGATAATACTCACTTTGTCCCTCAAATTTCTTTATAATTATCCCCAAAAAGGTGTTTTGTGGCGCAACATGACCTCTCCGAACTGGCATGATTATTCCAAAAAATAAGAAAGATTCCGCTGTCCAAATAGGAACGCACCTTCTCCTGAGACTCAAGTTCTGGTGGTTCCAACCGCTAAAGCCTGAATGTCTCCCCTTTGTCTATACTCATCCTTAGGAAATCTCCCCCTCTTAGTTCTTCCGACCTCTTCCTTATTTCAACTTAAATATGGTCCGACTAGGGCGCATTTTAAAGCCTTCAAAGTGCACTTCACCGCATTGACTCTGGAGTTAAAGGTTGTTGTACAGGGTAGTTTCTCCAACATTTCAGAACGATCATGTGAGGGACCCTGCCGCCGCTCTCTAGCGTTGCGCTCGCTGCTACTGCTGCTGTTGTGGAGAAGGAACTCATGCGGCGGTGCCACGGACAGTGACGTTACCCACGCTCAGGCAGCGCTCAGCTCGTGCACCTCGCGCTCAGCTCGAGCAAGGCTGTGGAGGAAATCGTATATCCATGCGTTGAGAGGGAGCTATGGGTGACGCCAGGCCAGGGCAATAAATGTGTATCGTCTATTTTTACATTGACCCATGGAAAACACGTGGGTTTATGTCTCACGTTGACTGTGGCATGCCTGTAACTGCCAATGCATAGAATGCAGAAGATGACTGCATGAATTTTAGACATACTGTAGTTGTTTATCAGATACAGAGAAAATGAATAAATGGAAACAGGCTACAGCACTAATGATTCTATGAAGTTATAGAGAGGGGGAGAACGCTGTAGATATGGTTCCCTGTCCATGGTGCTGAAGTTGTTGTAACGAAACATTTAGCAGACGCTCTTATCCAGAGCGACTTACAGGAGCAATTAGGGTTAAATGCCTTGCTCAAGGGCACATCCACAGATTTTTCACCTAGTCGGCTCGGGGATTAGAACCAGCGACCTTTCGGTTACTGGCACAACGCTCTTAACCACTAAGCTACCTGCCAAACTACTATGTCAAAAATGTATTTTATGTACAAATGTATTGTTTTTCTTACATTTAGATTTCAGGGAGAATTTCACTGTAAATCTACAGCATTATACTGGCACCAGAGTTGACAGCTTAATACTGTAATTTTGCTTTACAGCGTAGATTCTGTAATATATTTTACAGAACTATTTTCTTTACTGTAAAACACATTACAGCATCGCTGTTGTACATGTAATATTTATTTGTAAAAGTATAAATTACCAAAGTTACCACAGATTACCTGTTAATTACCAAAATTGAGGAAGATTCCGGTAACTTTGGTAATTTACGGGTAGCTTTGCAAACCTATGTTTACTTAACTGAAGTTAACTACTTAGTCATAAATTACCATATCACACACACACATACACACACACACACATCGCTGAAAAGGGCATGCCTGCCCCACAGTCTGAATCACATTAAGGGCCGGTGTGACAGCCTTTTATGAACTGTGCTTATTTCACACACCCAACACACTGATTGGACTGGCACTGTTTTGGCACCGCCGCGCAATCTGTCACAACATTCACTGAACTGTATCTAATGTAGTCCGATTATTCAAATGGATGAAACAGGAGACAAAGAACAAGATTTGAGTGTGGATAAGAACAAACTGTCCTTTCCAACAACAATCTGAAAGACGCATGCCAAAAACATTGTAAGAAACAGCAAAAACAGACAAAAGGTGTCTGTATTCCAGCATTTTACTTCAATGAAATGGCTGTCTGCATACTGTATGTTGTTGATTATCTTTGCTATCTGTTCAGACATGTGGACGTGGGATATATAGTTCACATCGAGAGGGTATAGCCATGTAATGAAAGCTCCAGTGATCCCTACGACAATACATGAAGTGGACCAACAGGAATGTGTTCTACTGTCACCTACCCTATATCACTAGCAAGACAATAAGCCTAGGAACAGTTTCACTCCATCTTATCTGGATGAGAGAGACCCGTAGGCTGCAGGTGTGACGCCAGATACTGAAATTACCCACCAAATGATTTCTCTGGGCAGTAGTAAAAGACGTGTAGCTAGCTACTACTCTGAGAGACATTTCCCCCTGACTCTTGTCCATGATAGCTGTTACAGTACTTATTAAAAACAAACACAGCTTGGTGTAATCCTTCTCTCAAGAGTCACATTCGACTCATTCATGGGTGAGAGAGGGAGGGAGGTGGGGAGGGAGGGATTTAAAGGAGTGCTAGAGGCTGTGTTCCATTCTCCCAAATACCCACAGTGCAGTATTGAGGTGGAGAAAGAGAAAGGGCAATGGAAAGAAAAAGGGAGAGAGCGGTTAACAAGAGATGAGGAGAGATCATCTTTTGTAATTCCAAGTTTTTCATGATACAGTCTGGCTTGTTTTACACAATGTTACACAATATTTGTTCAATATTTACAACCTACTGACCATGAGAAGAAAATGCTGACGCTGCATATACAGATGTAGGATCTTAATTTGACCAGCATTGTCGCAGCAAAATAATCCTGCCTATAACAGGATTTGAACATTTAGTTTATAATGTTGCTTGATCGGTGGTTAGGCTATTAGTTGGATATAGGCTATATGAAAAGTGCAATACTGTTAATATAACCATCTGTAAGTGTGGTTTTTCAGTGAATTAATTTAAATCAAGAAGCTCATCTGCATTTCCTGCGGTTGTAGGAAGATTCTCAGCAACAAAAGTGTGATCAAATGAAGATCCTAAATCTGTAGAGCACCATGGAAATTGTACCTTTTTTTCCTTTATTTATAATATGCATTTAGATATAGTGTACTCTAAAGGCCCATGCATTTAACTTCCTGGTGTCCGCCCGTATGTTTTCTGAAAGGAGAATATCCAATCATAAGCCTGCTTCTGTCTCTCTGTCAGCCCATTCGTTTTTAGTGAATCTGTTGTCCGTATGTGGAGCAATTTAGAAACAGCAGCCAGGGGCTTTAATCCACAGATCACACCAGGGCAAATGCCTCACTGCTCCCAGGAATGACCCCTTCCTCCTCTTTTCTCACTCAATCTATTGCTCTCTCTATCTCTCTCTGTCAATTGCTCTCTCTCTTTTTATCTCTTATTCTCTCTTTCTGTCTCTGTCTGTCTGTCTGTCTGTCTGTCTGTCTGTCCTACTCTCTCTCTCTCTCTCTCTCTCTCTCTCTCTCTCTATTTCTGTCTCTCTCTCTCTTTCTCTCTTTCTCTCTTTCTCTCTCTCTGTGGATATTGAACTGCATATGAACACGTGCACATGTTTAGGTTTTGGCATATCTTTATATGAATGCTCTTATTTAGCCTAGTAAAGAGCTTTCAAATGTCAAATGTACAGGTAACTGCTAAAATAAAGGAAGCACCAACATAAAGTGTCTTAATAGGGCGTTGGTCCACCACGAACCAGAACAGCTTCAATGCGCCTTGGCATAGATCCTACAAGTGTCTGGAAGTCTATTGGAGGGATGCGACACTGTTCTTCCACAAGAAATTCCATAATTTGGTGTTTTGTTGATTGTGGTGGAAAACGCTGTCTCAGGCGCCGCTCCAGAATCTCCCATAAGTGTTCAATTGGGTTGAGATCTGGTGGCTGAGACGGCCATGGCATATGGTTTACATTGTTTTCATGTTCATCAAACCATTCAGTGACCGCTCGTGCCCCTGTGGATGGTAGCATTGTCATCCTATGTGGGCATAGCCAAATAAGGGCCTGCCCAGCATTTTTATACAAGACCCTAAGCATGATGAGATATGTATTGCTTAATTAACTTAGGAACCACACCTGTGTGGAAGCACCTGCTTTCAATATACTTTGTATCCCTCATTTACTGAAGTGTTTCAATTTCTTGGCAGTTACAGTACCTGTACATTCACATCTCTCTCCCTCCATCTGGTACATGGATCCTTGTTCCCAGTACCATTTCACATGCAGCCAAAACGAAAAACAAAACAAAGATCATTGTGTAACAGAGAAAATGTACATAGATGGAAAACGAGAGGGAGAACAGTACAATAGGGCAAGCTGTTGTAACCTCTTTGTTCCCCACACATTTTCCACCGCTTTCTCCGCTTTGGGTACAGAGTTGATGGGAAAAGCTTGCTGCAACCCGGGGGCTATGGTGTTGGTATGGCAGTGATAGCCTGTCCTGTCACCTCCAGAGATACCAATGTGTGTGTGTGTGTGTGTGTGTGTGTGTGTGTATGTGTGCGTATTTGTTTGTGTGTGTCTGAATCCTTGTCTTCTGTCACTGTCACCACCCAGGCTAACAGGCCGTGACTTCCACAGCTCATCACCAGAGCAAGAAGTGTCACCCCCCCCCCCCCCCCCCCCATCCCTCAGATGTATCACCCGGAACACTGTACGTTGTTTCAATCACCACACATCCAACACTCTGGGCCAAACACTGTGGGAGTCTGGCAGGGTGAGAGTGAGGGGAATGTGGAGACATTGGATGTTCTCCTTGTGTAAAAAATCTGTCACCTCATAAGATGTTGAAAGGTACATGAAAGTCCATTGTAGAATTGAATGAACAGGACACATTTAGGACAATGTGTTCAGTGGGTTTACCAGTTTCCTATTATAAGTATCTGGCAGTTTGGGCCTGCCTGATTTCTCTGTAAAAAGCTGTACAAGGTGTTGAGAGGAGGCATTGCTTAGCACCCTAATCATGAACATGTCCTCTAGGGGAGAAAACATATGTAAGCACTTGGGAAAGCATGCTGCTGGTAGAATACTAAACAACTGACAAGCCTTATCTTATCTAGATGTGTACTCACAAACAGCTATCTAATGAATAGGTTTATTATGCAACACACACACAGGTGGTGATGACTTAATCTGTCAAATTAAATAGCTGGAGAATGTTCTCAAACAACATAATAATGAATCTCTTGTCATCCACTAAAACGTCATCCTGATCTTAGTTGTCTGAGCTTGCTTGTTGATTCCATGGCCTTTGTCTAAATCGTTGAGATCTATGTTTAGATACAAATGTCAACAACGATTATTAAAAGATAGTCATGAATGTCTCTCAAAGACTTTCAATCATCTCACTCT